CTTTGTATGTCCCTCCCCCACAGTATAACCCCTGCTTTCACTATATTTGATGTCAGTATAACTTGTGGAGGAGATGGGGAGAAACAAGTCATTTAAGGATACAGGTGGACCTGTTGCAACAATGAGAAGTACAAGTTGTCATGTCGAAAACGAACTTTACAACTTTGGTGTGGGGGGGAGGGGGGGAAGGGGGGAAAATTGGGTGGGGGGGCGGGGGGAGGCTGGGAGGGATGTGAAGGGTAAACAAAGGAGGAGGCTGCAATGTTTGGTAAGAAATGTACTCATTATATTGCCATGTAATTGTAACCCCTCTGTACAGTATGTCCACAAAAAATAAAAAAAGAAATGTACTCATTATCTTGCCCATCTAATTGTAACCCCTCTGTACAATATTTTCACAATAAAAAATAAATAAAAATTTTAAAAAAAGTTTAAAAAATATTTGGCTTCAGGGATTTGCTGTAGCAACAGAAAGTCAATTATATACCAGCTAAAGTGGCATATTCTGATTCAGGGATTAGCAATATAATAGGACCTTCTTTAAAATTGTTGGTCTTTAAAAAAAAGTTGGATCTTCTGATCTTTCCCCTCAGAAATCTATGACAAACAGGCTTTGTAATGTGGTCTATTCTTTCAGTATTCTATTTTCCTTTTTTTTTTTTCATAAGTCTACTGCTGCTGGAACCCTGGGCCTGATGTATGTTAGGCCAGCACTCTTATCACCGAGCTATATACTTCCTGTCCTAAATTTCCTTTTCTTTAAAACATCTGTTTAAAGCCTCTCGGGAGCAGCAATGTAGAGTTTTCTAGACCCAGTGCAATTCTGGCCTGTTTTGTTCTAACTTCATCTACTACTCTAGGGCTTAGAAGCAGCCGTTTTCTCTTAGTGATGCTCCCTCTGGCATTTCCCAGCTGGGACTGGTTTCAGAGGTGAAGGACCAGATACACAGGTCCCTCTACCTCCCTGGAGACAGCAAAATATCTAAGGCTTGCCTGCCTGCCTCTCGGGCTTGAGCCAATGCTGCAGAGGTGGAGGAGGCTGGAGGGACCCAGGAAGGAGAATAGGGACAGAAAGGAGAGAGAAGGTGGAGGTTCCACCAGCTGGAGGCAAAAATCAGCAGCTGACATAATAACCACCTTTCTTCAGGCTGATTTTCAGATCCTTTGCTTGGATGTAAATGGCCAATGACCCATGACTGAAATAGAAGCCAGACGTTGAACGTCAGTTTTGGTAAGTAGAAAGTAGAAAGGCTCACTTGTGCCAGGTGTCATGCGAAGCCTTGCTGGAGAGTGATTCTGGGTCTATCTGTGTGATGACCCAGCTACTGACCCTGTCTTCTCCCCTTGGGTTAAACAGGTCCCTTTAGAAGACTGGCAGTATGTAGGAAAGAGGTAAATCTCCAAATCAACAGATATCTCTGAATGTAAACAAGCAAAGCCAGTGAAACTAGAGCTGCCAATCTTGTGGTCTGGGTTAAGTCCAGACACCCACTCCTATACGTACAACTGGAAATGGAGTTGGAGGGAAAATGTAGAATGAGGTTAAACTTGGACGGGCCAGGTTTAAATTCCAGCTTACTATTTCAATGTCCTTGAGAAAATTAGTTGATCTCCAGCTCTCTGTTCCTAAGCAATGGTGCACACATCTACTTCTCATGGGGCTTCTGAGAATTAAATGAATATCTATAAAGAGAAAATGCCTAGATAGAACAATGAAATGATGTTAGTAAATAATAAGACATAGCTGGGCACCAGTGGCTTACATCTGTAAACCCAGCTACCCAGGAGGCTAAGATTCAAAGACTGAGGTTCAAAGCCAGTCTGGGCAGGAAAAGCCATGAGACTCTCTGTTTTATTTTGTTTTTGCTGCTCCTGGGGCTTGAACTCTGGGCATGGACCCTGTCCCTGAGCCCCTTTGTGCTCAGGCTAGCATTCTACCACTCAAGCCACAGTGCCACTTCCAACTTTTTCTGAGTAGTTTATTGGAGATAAGAGTGTAATTGACTTTCCTGCTTGGGCTGGTTTCAAACCATGATCCTCAGATCTCAGCCTCCTGAGTAGCTAGGATTACAGGTATGAGCCATCAGTGCCCAGCTACCAAGAGACTCATCTCTAATTAACCCCAGAAGCCAAAAGTGAAGCTGTGGCTCAAAGTGGTAGAGCACTATCCTTGAGCATTAAAGCTTAGGAACAGCGCTCAGGCACACATGCACACACACACACACACACACACACACACACACACACACACGAATAATGCAATATATAAATTATAAACTGCTCTGAGAAGATAATCTTAAGTCTGTTCTTGGATCAAATATATTTTAGTAGCTATATTTCTCTACTTGAAGTTAGAATTAAATTCTCAAGTTATTTATCATGAATAGAGTCTAGGACACATTCCAACTGAGCAAATTGCAGTGTGATTATTAACTTATCATAGCAGTAGTACATGTCTTACACAAAGACAAAGAAAGCGATGACAAATCTACCACATGCTGTACTGGTATAATGGTGGTTACAATGGGTTCTCCTAAGAGCCTGAGTTACTTTTGACTTATTGTTCTTTTCAGGGCCTCATGCTAGGCAAGTGCTCTACCACTGAACTACAGCCTCAGCCCTTGAATTTTTTTTTATTTTTTTGGGCCAGTTGTGGGGCTTGAACTAAGGGCCTGGGCACTATCCCTGAGCTTCTTTTGTTCAAGGCTAGCACCCTACCACTTAAGCCACTTCCAGGTTTTTCTGTTTATGTGGTACTGAGGAATTGAACCCAGGGCTTCATGCATTCTAGGCAAACACTCTACCACCAAGTCACATTCCTAGCCCCTTGAATTCTTTTTAGTTATCCTTAAAGTCCTATGGCTCAAGGTTCTGATAAGGGAAAGACTTTTTTTTTTTTAATTAGAATCAACACTGAAATTCAAGGCTTCAGTCTGTCTCTAGTAAATTCATCCTTCAACAGTGATTACCTTATTATCCATAGTCAATAAGACTTCTGGCTTTCTCTCTTACAAATCTAGCCTGGAGCATGGAGAGTTGCAAATTCTGAGAGATCTGGAGTTCTAGGTACCATAAGTAGGAAGAGATGCCAGGCTTGGCAGGGCTAGTGAGAAAACCAGAAATATGACAAATATAGACTGTTTGGAACAAACAGAGCTGTTAGGCTGAAAGTAGGGCAGAAGAGAACCAGGAGACTTGGCTTCCAACCAGGAGGAGGACAGAGCAAGTGAATGAATGCTTATCAAATATCAACTGTTTTTCTCTCTCTCCCTCTCTCTCCCCTGGAGATTGAACCTGGGTCTTTCATATATTACAGCATAAACCCTTCATCTAATTAGATGATAGTATCATATAGAAATAACTACTGCCAGTAAATAGATTGGCCATAAGTAGATTGGTGATTTGCACAGCTGTAGTGGGTGTGAACTTTGGGCAGGTCAGGCGCCTAGGAGCTCAGACTATTCAGATGTGTTGCACCACAACTGCAAAATGAGTGCATTATACAGGTGTAAGGCAGAGATGGCAAAGTGGCATGGGACTAATGTGGTAGCTCCCTGTCATTAGAGTTGTTCAGTTAAATGCATAGTGATGTCATGTGTTAGTGCTTCACTGGAGAGTGGAAATGGATGATTTTTTTTTTTGGGTCCGGTTGTGGGGCCTGAACTCTGGGCCTGGGCACTGTCCCTCAGCTCTTCAGCTCAAGGCTAGCGCTCTACCACTTGAGCCACAGCGCCACTTCCGGCTTTTTTCTTTTTGCTTATGTGGTACTGAGGAACCGAACCCAGGGCCTTAGGCATGCAAGGCAAGTGCTCTACCACTGAGCCACCTTCCCAGCCGAAATGGATGATTTGTGAAGGTGCCTTCCTAGTTTGGAATTCTATCCTTTGGGGTGGTTCATACTCTAGATAAATCATTTATACCTAAACAAATTTACTCTTACTTTTCACTTCCATTCTACCTCTTTCCCATATGGATGGGAATTCTCTTTTATTTATTTATTATTTATTTTTGCTAGTCTTAAGGAATTCTCTTTTATTTTTTTTTATTGTGAAAATACTGTACAGAGGGGTTACAATTACATGAGCAAGGTAATAAGTACATTTCTTTCTTTTTTTGGGGGGGGGGTCCGGTCATGGGGCCTGAACTCTGGGCCTGGGTGCTGTCCCTCAGCTCTTCAGCTCAAGGATAGCGCTCTACCACTTGAGCCACAGCACCACTTCTGGTTTTTTTCTTTTTGCTTATGTGGTGCTGAGGAATCGAACCCAGGGCCTCGAGCATGCAAGGCAAGCGCTCTACCACTGAGCCACCTTCCCAGCCCCATGAGTACATTTCTTATCAAGCATTGTTGCCTCCTCCTTTGTTTCTCCTTACCATCCCTGCCCATCTCCTCCCTCCCCCACCCCGAATTCTCTTTTAAAGGAGGGATGTGTGGCAGTTAGGCAGTTGGGATAATAACAGTCATTAGGTCCAGTTTTTGTGTAAGTTTACTAAGGAGATGGAGTTACATTCCTCTGAGTAAACTATGAGGATTACCCAATTGCATTATCTTGTTCCTGAACATTAAAACATTAAATACATTGTTACCAGGGGAAAAAACCCACCTAAATATAAGAGATTTGGGGCTGAGTGAATTTAAGAATTAATAGTCTGTTTTCTCTTCAGAATGAGGACTTGGGGCCAAAGATCTATTGTTAGCTTGGGAAGTGAAGGATCCATTCTATGCAGTGGCTGCAGACGAGTTTTTATTTTTTTATTGGTCCTCTGCTGCCTCACTGTGGACTAGTTGGAAATAACAGCTCACGATTTCATAGGGTTCCTTAAAAAGTGGGGAAGGAATTTATCATGGAAATGAGGGGTTCACAAACCAGAGTTACACCATATATGGCTGGGATTCCCAGAAGATAGGTACAGAAGTCTCTTAAACTGCCAATGACATCAAGAAACTGTCTTCTTTTCCACAATCTTTATTTTCTCTCCAGACATCTGCACCCAATAAACAATGACTGTCTAACAAGCCCCATCCGCCCCCCCCCCCCGTCAAACACCTCACTCATTCTTTTGGCCACGAGCAGATAAGTGCCAGTGGGTATCAGGACAACTGTCCCTTAGCTCTTCTTCCTGTACTTGGAGTAACAAGACTCTCTGACATTGAGGCTTTTCCCAGAATCATGTCTTCATCTATCTTTAAGCTATGCTCTCCATACAACTACACACACCTACCTTGGTGCTTGCCCATCCCTGACTCCCTGCCCAGGCACAGGACAGAGATGACCCTTCTGTTTTATTAAGCGAGAGAAGGGAACAAGTGAACACAAAGAAAGGAAGGGACTAAAAGTCACTTGGCATATTTTAGCTGGAATTCAGCAGTGCCCCAATCCCAGGACCATCTTTCACCAATAGTCTAGCTGCTTCCTCTCCTGGTCAGTACCCCCATGGAGTGCCCAGTCACCACAATGCTCCCACAAGAAGTGACAGTGGCTGGGGCCCTCCATTCTCCAGCCACCAGGGAAGTACAGGTTATGTGGCTCTCTGCTATCTGCCCACCTGGGCCTCCTCTCTTCTCCTCTCTCCTACCCACAGGCCTGGCCTGACCTCCCTTCCTCTCCCTTCATGCCTCCAGACCCTGCCGCAGCCTGCGGTCCAGGGCCAGGAGCTGCCTCAGGAAGCCCCGGTTGGGGATGATGCCTCGGTGGTCTTTTACTTTCTTGATGGCCTCCACCAGGGTGAAGTGGTGGTACAGCATGAGGTAGGCCAGCACCAGGGTGGCCGACCGGCTCACACCCACAGCGCAGTGCACCAGAATCTTCCCTGTGGGGAGACAAAGAGATAGCTGAGATGGGGTGATGGGGAGGGAGACCTGGACAGGTGAATAGAAACACAGCAAGCTGCTTGCCACCTGTCCTCCTAGCGGCTCAGGAGGCTGAGATCTGAAGATCCCAATTCCAAGCCAGATTGCGCAGGAAATTCCCTGTGAAACTCTTACCTCCAATAAACTACTCAAAAAAAGCCGGAAGTGGCAGTGTAGCTCAAGTTGGTAAAGTACTAGCCTTGAGCACAAAGAGGCTCAGGGACAGCACCCAGACCCTGAGTTTAAGCCCCAGGATAGGAAAAAAGAAAGTAAAAGAAAAGGAAAGGAAAGGAAAGAAAGTTAGGTAAGCAGAGGTTCATGAAGACAGAAATGGCTGCAAATGAATTATATTTCTTAGTATCCGCAGATACTGGACTGTGGTAGAGCCTAGGCCTGGTATGGGCAAGGCCTTGGCTTAATTTCACAGCAATAATACTAACAACAGCAAGACAGGAATGCAGAGCCCTGTAAAGGGATGAGGCCTCTGAGAACAGGGCAGAGGAGACACACAGCTCAGTGTCCATAGAGACCCACCGTGATGCAAGACCAGGCTTGGCCTAAAGTTTCAGTTGATAGTTTCTGAGTCTGTCAATAGGAAACACTCTTGAGTTGAACCTGGCCTATCTTCAGTCTTTCCTGTACTTTTTTTTTTTTGCCAGTCCTGAGGCTTGAACTCAGGGCCTGAGCACTATCTCTGAGCGTCTTTTGCTCACAGCTAGTACCCTACCACTAGAGCCAAAGCATCACTTCTTCTTTTTCTTTTCTTTCTTTCTTTCTTTCTTTTTTTTGGGTCCAGTTGTGGGGCCTGAACTCTGGGCCTGGGCACTGTCCCTCAGCTCTTCAGCTCAAGGCTAGCGCTCTACCACCGGAGCCACGGCGCCACTTCTGGCTTTTTTCTTTTTGCTTATGTGGTGCTGAGGAATCAAACCCAGGGCCTCGAGCATGCAAGGCAAGCACTCTACCACTGAGCCACCTTCCCAGCCCTACTTCTGGCTTTTACTGTGTATGTAGTACTAAGGAATTGAACCCAGGGCTTCATTCATGCTAGGCAAGCACTCTACCACTAAGCTACATTCCCAGCCTATCTTATCCCTTCTTTTATCTTTTTAAAAAAACATTCCAAATATGTATAACCAACAAACGTGGTGTTCTTTGTGTTTTGAGAATAAGTTTTTCTATGTTGCCAAGTCTGACCCAACACTCCTGTGTTCAGTAAATCCGTCAACTTCAGACTCCCAAGTAGCTAAACTACCACTCCTGCCCCTCCCACACTCCTATCCTGAAGTTTCTCTCAACCATTTCATATATCCATAAAACCATTATATACATACAGTGGATAAGAATAAAAACATAATATATGCTTTATTTTACATCATACATACATATAATATATACATTTAATGTATGTGTAATACATAGAAACTTTAATATGTTATATGTATATATAATATGTATATTTGCTGGTATTTGGGTTTGACCTTGGGCCTTGAGTTTGCCTGTTCAACTGACACTACCACTTGAACCACACCTCCAGCTTTTTGCTGCCTACTTTGGAGGTAGAGTCTTACAGGACATTTTTGCTGGGGCTGGCTTTGAACTGTGATCCTCTGGATTTCAGCTTTTTCCTGAGTAGCTAGGATTATAGGCATAAGTCACTGGAAAATGGTTCATTTATTATTTACATAAACAATCATTCCTTGGTATTTGGGAAGATTGGTTCTAGGATCTCCAGCAGATAGCAAAAATTAGTGGATACCTCAAGTCCCTCCCTGTATATAAAAAGGCAACAATATGAACATATAACCTGTATACATCTTCCCATATACTTTAAATCATTTCTAGATGATGTATAATTAATACAAAGCAAATGCTATGCTACCAACTGTTACACTGTACAGATGCAGAATACATATATATATATATATATATATATATATATTTTTTTTTTTTTTTTTGAGTGCTGGTACTGGGCCTGAACTCAGGGCTTCACATTCTTGCTTGGCTTCTTTGCTTAAGGCTGGAGGAGCTCTACCACTTGAATCACTTTCACTTCCACCTTTTGGGTGGTTAGAGATAAGAGTCTCACAGACTTTCCTGCCCGGGCTGGCTTTAAACTGCGATCCTCAGATCTCAGCCTCCTAAGTAGCTAGGATTACAGGCGTGAGCCACCGCTGCTTGATTCCTCCTTGTCTTTTCCTTGTATTGCCTAGATACACCACGGTCACAAGAACCATGTACTTCCCTTAACATTCTATTGGGAATATTTTGGTCCTCTTGCTGACATCTCTCCCCATGCTTGAACCTGGGGCTTCTCCGGAACTCCAGGTCCCCTCAGCTCTTCTCCCCTTCCTGCTTTCCCTCCTTACCTCCTGGCTGGCTCAGGGCTCGGTGGATGAAGTCAGCGGCTGCCTGGAAGTGGATGCTCATATCAAAGGCTGGCGAGTCGTGTGCCTCCACCCCCAGGTAGCGGATGCCCAGCCCCTCATAGGCCTCCGGTGTGCCTCGCCACCTGTTGTGGGAGGCATTGAGAACGTGGGTGATTCCCAGGCGACGAAGCTCACGGCGGTTGTTGGCCATGTCCCTATTGGGCAGAGGTCAGGGGAGGGGGGAAAGAACAGGGGTCAGGCAAGTTTTTGGCTTAGTTTCCATCATTGGCTTCCATTTCCTACTGTATTGACTTTTGATTCCTCAGAAGAGAGAAAGGAGGATAGGGTCTCTCACCCTATGAGCAGTATTAGGACTTAAGTCCAGTACAGGTGGCTCATGCCTGTAATTCTAGCTACTCAGAAAGCTGAGATCTGAGGATGGTGGTTCAAAGCCAGCCAGAGCAGGAAAGTCTGTGAGACTCTCATTTGCATGCAACTACCGCAACACTGGAAGTAGAGCTAGGGGTCAAGAGGTAAAGAGCTAAGTTAAAGCCCCAGGACTGGTACAAAATAAACAAAAATGGGATGGGGTGACAATAGTCATCGAACAATATCTCCAGTGCCTAGAGAAAGCAAAATTCAATCTGCATGGCTTTCAACTGCAGGGGGACCCAAAGGATGGAAGTTGCAAGGAACCAGATTCCTGTTTGACACAACTAAATTTATACTAACAGTGGATCTGCTGGAAGAGAGCTGACACGCCTTGGGACAGTGATTTTCCTGTCATCAGGTGTTAAAGCAGAGAGAGGGATCATGGTGCAGGCCTGGGTATGGCTGAGTATATGAGGACCACACCTACATCTTTAAGTTCTCTGGTAGGGTCAGTGGTGCAGTTTAAAGTGTAGTGTATACTTAGGATGTGCAATGCCCCGGGTTCAGTCCCCAGCACCAAAAAATAATTACAAATACATTTTTGTAGTATCCCTGCTAATATTCTTCATCTTTGCATTGTTGCTGTTTATTTCAGAAGAGTCTCCTTAGGTAGCCTAAGCTGGCCTGGAATTGTAGAACTTCCTATTTTAGCCTCCCGTGTTACTGGGATTACAGGCATGATCCCCCTACCTGGCTTCCTGTGAATCTTGAGGTTATATGGTTCTGACATTTGTTTCCACACCTAACTCCCCGTTACTTTATAATCTCATTGACACCTGGAATCCTCCTTGGTTTGGCTAGTCATTTAATGGCTCATATTTACCCTATTTTACAACGTCACCTTCAAATGTTGATCTAGACCATACCCTCTCAGCTTTTGGGTAGGTCCAAGAGTCAGATATCAGCACAATTCGTCCATGCAGTACAAACTCCTTAAGTGAGATGAATATTGAACTTGACCCTCCAGGTCCTGACTCTGCTATCTATGACACATAGGAACTTGGGCCAGTCACAACTTCCCTGAATGTCAGTTTCCTCGGGTGTAACCTGGGAAGTGTGAGGTAGAAGAACTCCTACCTTGCTTGTGAGGCCGTTATGAAGGTTAAGAATGAAAATTCACACGGAACTATCTACCTACATGAAAGCCATGAGCAGGACAAGCAGAGGCCTCTCCTCTTATGCTGCTCATTTCTCAAAGGCTCACCTTGAAGCTCTGCACACTGGGATTTACCTGGTCTCTAGATGACCCAGCTTGAAACCCCTCCAGCTTCCCACCTCCCACTCCTGTCCCAGAGAGCACCTTTTCCAGAGCTATGAGAGCAATTAGCCTGGTACATAGCACTGGCATTCAATACCAGACATTTGCTAAAAGAATACCAAAAGGACAGAATTTTTCCTGACCAGAGTTGTATAATTCAATAATCCTGCCTAAACTCACCCAAGTCCTCCAGCCTCTATTCTCTGCCTAAGGGTCTCTCTCTTCAGTCCTTAAGCTGAAATGAACAGTGCAAGTCAGCCTCTGTCTGTCTGTCTGTCTCTGTCTCTGTCTCTCTCCCTCCTTCCCACATGCCCTTGGCCAAGCCTCCATCTCCCTGATACGTACTGGTCTCCAAGGTAAAGGCCTGGCCAGACCTCATCAGCATGGTTACAGGCAGTCTTGCCGGTGTAGAGGAGCCTCTCCAACTCGAAGACGTTGAGGAAGGGATGTTGAACGGTGGGCATCTCCTCCAGGCTCCCTCTGGTACGAACAGGAGACCTGGAGCTACTCCGGGAGAAGCGGGCCATAAAAGTCATGGAAGCCCAGAGCCAGTTACCAGGACACATCTTAGAGGCTCAGTTGCTGTCTGGGTGCGGTGGTGAGGATGGGGTTGATCACCAGGTAGCTGTTGCTGGAAGGAGAGGGGGTGTGAGACACACTTGAGTGACTCCCAGAGCAGGTGTTTCCCATTTTGCCAGCTGGGCCTGGCCCTGGGGAGAAGATCCTCAGGAGAGGTAAGGCTAGGTGGGGTTGATCCCCCCCAACTCTCCCCCCCACTTCCTCCCCACCCCTCCTCCCGCTCCGGGGTGGGGGCTTCTAGAATTACCTTCTTCAGCTGTGGCAGCTCCTTCTTCTGAGCTCTTTGGCTCTGCCAGGCAAGGAGGTGGAAGGGTCACATGTCCTTGTTTACAGAAAGAGGGAGCTGCCCAGCTGCTGAGTTTCTGCTCCACTGCCCCACCCGTACTGCCAACACACACACACACACACACACACACACACACACACGACATTTGGGTGCCTGTACACAGGGCTGGGCTTTTGCCAGTCAGAATCTGGGTCTCATCTACCCAGGAGGGGCTACAGATGAAGAGTTTAGGGAGCTGGTGCTGGGTGGGAGGGGCTTTGGACCCATCCAGAAGGAATTATCAAAAGACAATGGCAGCTGGGGCAGCTGGGGCCATGACACATGCCAGTCCTTCTAACTAGGTGCCAGAGCAGTGAAGTATCTTAACCCATTCCTGTCCTAAAAGCCTCAAAGATAAGCCAGTGTGGGAAGTGGGTATAAAGGTTTGGGGATGGACAGGGAAAAGAAAGTCTGGGAATTAGTGGAAGCTATGAGCACCCATGGATGTGTACAACAGGTAGAAAGAACTCTGCTTTCATGGAGCCTCATCTCTGATGTGGGGTTGTGAGTTTGAGAGTGACTGAAGCCGAGTGGGCCCTGGGAGGAGCAGAGGCCAGAGGCCTGGGGAGGGAGAAGGAAAGGGAAGTGAGGGGTCCTGCAGGCCCAGGGCTTAGAGGTCAGGATTGCCAGCTGTTAGGAATCCCGGTACTTGGGGACCACCAGTCCTTCTCCAAGTGGAGCGCTGCTGTGCTAAGCCGTCGCCACAGGTCAGCCCCTGAAGCGTGTGTATGCCTTGCACAAGATGGCAAACCCACAGCCCTCTTCCCCATGCGCCCAGGGCGCTGCGTGTTGGAGAGGATGGGCTCAGCCGCAGCACCCTCCCACTTCCCTCCCTGCCTTCTGCAGCCAGCACATCCAATGTCCACCAGTGAGAGGCCATTTTTGTCCATGACCACAGGGTCCCCATGCTACACTGTCAGCCAGGCCCGGGTCTCCTTTCCTCCAGGCCAGGAGAGACCAAGCACCAGCACGCACAGGACCTCAGAAGTAGAGGTTTGGGGGAATCACGACTAAGTGACAGAAGATTCCATATTCAGGTATTTGGGGATATATTATTATTATTATTGCTATTATTTTCTATGTCTGGGATATAATAAACACAGAAATACAGCTCTATGACCTCCATCAGCACTCCTTTCCACCATTAGCTCCCCCTCCCACCTCTCACTATCTCTTTCCTCCAAGTCTGGAGATCCCATCCCCTCCTCCCCTTTTTTTTTCTTTTCTTAAGCAACCTTTCCTCCTCATGCATTCTGCCATCTCCACGCTGGTGGAACGCAGGGGGGGGGGGAGGCGGGAAGGAGACCAGATGAACCTCTGTCTCTGCTGGGGATGGCGGTGGAGGGGCCCTCTCTCTGTCCTCGGAATACACACCCCTGGGCATCGTCCAATCTCCTCTGGCTCCCTTCCCCGCCGCCGTCCTGCTCCTAACAGGTTCATGGCTGCTGTTGCCCAAGCGCTTTGCCTATCCAGACAGCCCGGCGCAGCGGGGGGAGCCCGCTGCGGTGGGCGCCCTGTTCCGCTGCTGCGGCGGACTACGATGTCCATCACCCCGATCAATCGATCGCGCGCCCCTCCCCAGCCCAGGCGAGGCCGCAGGGAAGGCACGCGGGCCCCTCTAACCTGTTTGCGCGCCTCGGTGCGCTGCGTTTAGTTCCCGCGGAGGATGGCAGGCGCAGGCCACCCCAAGGCCATGACTCTCCCGCAACGTCGCCACCACCTCCACCACCACCACCACCACCCGGGGTTGCTGCTGCTGCTGCTGGCGCCGCCGCCTTCGCCACCGGAGCCCTCTGACGGATTAGCATCTATTTTTAAGCCCTGACACAGGCATGGAAGCAGGGTTCACAGCGCGGCGTGCGTCGCTGACTTACAGGGACGCCGTCTCACACTGGGTGGTGGGAGCCGCCACGCAGCGTGGGCGCACCGCACCCCTCCCAGCCCGCCCCTGTTTCCAGACCAGACAGACCCACGTAGTCACAGCAGCACCGCCTGGAAGGCTCGCCCCTGTGTTGTCAGAGCCAGCCAATTGCAAAGCATCGTGCCCAAAGATTCCCACGTCCCCCCTCCCCCCAGGCAGGCCCGCACACACTCCTCCCAGAGAGGGTGGAACAGTGAACTACACCCATCTAGCTGAGCATCCTTAAAGCGCAGGGATAGTGACTCTGTTACCCTGACTAGCATCTGTCCTAGGCCAAAAGTCTATGAGGCACAAGGGCTGTCTTCACTTTAGGGAGGAGTCCATGTGAACACAGATAGGCTAAGAATTGGCCCAGATCACCCAGCTAGAGGTATGGGTGAAGCTTAGTTTCCTACAATGGCAGTCTGGCTCCAAAATGCATGCATGGCCTCACCTACTATCTAACTCGCCTTTCATCCTCAAGATGGAGAATGTACCCCAGATTTCATCCAGGAAAACGTTTACTTTTCATTTTTTTAATTTTTTTTATTGTGAAAATACTGTACAGAGGGGTTACAATTACATGGGCAAGATAATGAGTACATTTCTTATCAAGCATTGTAGCCCTTTATTTACCCTTCCCATCCCTTCCCATCCTCCCCCCACCCTCCAAAGTTGTAAAGTTCGTTTTTGAAATGACAACTTGTACTTCTCATTGTTGCAACGGGATTAATTTAGTAGTTTAGCTTATAGTGGACTCAACTACTCAGAGGTCAGAGGAAATGAATCTCCAAATACTCTTTTTTTTAAATTTAATTTTATTTTATTTGTGAACATACTGTACAGAGGGGTTACAATTACATGGGCAGGATAATGCGTACATTTCTTACCAAGCATTGCAGCCTCCTCCTTTGTTTACCCTTCACATCCCTTCCCAGCCTCCCCTCTCCCCTCCAAATACTCTTGAATCTGCTGCCTTTTAGTTATATTGAGCATTAATTTTCTAGAGATCATTAATTTTCTAGAGTAGCTTTCCCCATCCATTCGTATGACTTTATAAGAGTGTGGTCTCAAGTAGGGTGCTGGTGACTCATGCCTGTAATCCTAGCTATTCAGGAGGTTGAGATCTGAGGATTGCAGTTCAAAGCCAGCCTGGGAAGGAAAATCTGCGAGACTCTTATCTCCATTAACCACCAGGAAACCAGAAGTGGCACTGTGGCTCAAAGTGGTAGAGAACTAGCAAAAGAGTTCAAGGACGGCACCCACACCCCCAGTTCAAACCCCACAACTGACTTTCATCCCCACACTATTAGAGTGTGTCTCTAGTAGAAATACACCAGAATTATTATTTATAAGTAAAATAGGACACAAAAGAATATACAGGGGCTGGAAATGTGGCTAACATGCCTAGCATGCATGAAGCCCTGAGTTCAATTCCTCAGTACCACATAAGCAGAAAAAGCTGAAAGTGGCGCTGTGGCTGAAGTGGTAGAGTGCTAGCCTTGAGCAAAAGAAACCCAGGGAAAGTGTCAAGGACTTGAGTTCACAAGCTCCAGAACTGGTCAAAAAAATAAAAAACAGATCTGTAGTAAACCTCAGTTTTAAAACATAAAAGCTTTAAAAATAAAGAAATAGCTGGGCGCTGATGGCTCATGCCTGTAATCCTAGCTACTCAGGAGGCTGAGATCTGAGGATTGAGGTTCAAAGCCAGCCTGGGTAGGAAAGTCAGTGAGACTCTTATCTTCAATAAACGACCAGAAAACCAGAAGTGGTGCCATGGCTCAAGTGGTAGAATGCTTGCCTTGAGCTGAAAAGCTGAGGGACAGAGTTCAAGCCCCACAACTGACAAAAAAGAAAGAAAGAAAGAAAGAAAAAAGAAGAATGATGGAAAAAGAAAAAATAAAGTAAAACATATATATATATATATATATAATGTAAATTATAGAAAAGACTGAAAGGAAATATACCAACTATTAAAACAGGTGAACTCTATCCTGAGTGGAAATGCAGGTAATTTTTGTTGTTGTTGTTGGTCGTTGGGCTTGAATTCTGGACCTGGGCACTGTCCCTCAGTTCTTCAGCTCAAGGCTAGTGCTCTACCACTTGACCACAGAGCCACTTGCAGTTTTATTACTGGTTTATTGGAGATAAGAGTCTCATGGACTTTCCTACCTGGGCTGACTTTGACCCACGATCCTCAGATCTCAGTCTCCTGAGTAGCTAGGATCACAGGCGTGAGCCACTAGCACCCAGCTTGCAGGTAAAAATTTTTGCTACATTTTATCTTAATTATTTATAAGCATTACAACCAATTAATCTGAGTAGTCCAGAACACAATTCAGAACTGTCAGTGTTCAGCGATCAAGAAGGAAGAAAACTTTCTTTTCTCTAACATAGTATCACAAATAATGCAGAAATAGTAACTACACAAACAACAGTTTTTAACATATAGTATCCCTGCACCAGGGGTGTTTATAAAGTATTGCTAATTCACTGGAGTCAGACTGAAAGCTATGCACCAAGGAAACTTCAATCTATTCAAGTAGCTCTTTCTGCCCACATCACAGGTGCATCTCTTCCTCAGATGCTGAAATGGCTAATTCATAGGCAGACATCCTGGCAGTTCAGCCAGGCACTGGTGGCTCATGTCTGAAATCCTAGCTACTTAGAAGATTGAGATCTAAGATCCTAGTTTGAAGCAGCCAGGCAGGAAAGTCATTGAGACTCTTATCTCCAATTAACTACCAAAAGCCAGAAGTGGAGCTGTGACTCAAGTTGTAAAGTTCTAGCCTTGAGCCAAAAAGCTCAGGGACAAACTCTGAGCTGAAACCCCAGGACAGGCAAGAAAGAAGAAAGAAAGAAAGAAAGAAAAAGAAAGGAAGGAAGGAAGAAAGAAAGAAAGAGAGAGAGAGAGAGAGAGAGAGAGAGAGCAGAGGGAGGGTGGGGAGGGGGGGATGGAGGAAGAAAAGGGAGGGAGGAAGGAAAGAATGAAGGAAGGAAGGAAGGAAGGAACAAAGGAAGGAAGGAAGAAAGAAGGAAGGAAGGAAGGAAGGAAGGAAAAAAGGAAGGAAAGAAGAAAGAAAAGGGAGAAATACATTTGCCAGGTATATTTCATAAAGCCAGGTCCTATCTCAAAATCTGTAGCAAGTTCCCATTGCTATCAAAGAACTCCTGGCCCCTCTGTACTACTTTGCTGCCAACGTTCTGGCCATCTGGATTTCTCCCCTGCCTTGAACTCTTCCAGTTTGTCCTCAATCTGCAATCCACCATGGTCAGTTCTGTGCCCTCACAAGCATTGGTGGGGTGTTTTCAGTAGCTCACTCTGGTGACCCAAGTCTTTGGTGGCAGGCACCTTGGACTCCAATCACATATATATACATATATCTATATCTATATATATACATATGTATGTATATATATAATTTTTTTTTGTTGGTCGTGTGCCTGAACTCTGGGCCTGGGTGCTGTCCCTCAGCTCTTCAGCTCAAGGCTAGTGCTCTACCACTTGAGCCACAGCTCCACTTCTGGCTTTTTCTACTTAGCTTATGTGGTGCTGAGGAATCGAATCTAGGGCCCCATGCATGCAAGACAAGCATTCTACCACTGAGCTACCTTCTCAACTCTAGATTCCTATCTTGGAGTCTTGGACTCTCGTATTCTTTCACTTTGTTCCCCTGGATGTATTTGTACTATGAGTGCTTGATTCTATCATTTTCAAAGCTATGAGGTGACTGTGAGTGTTGGGATGAGGCTTCACCCCTCAGTATCAGTAAGACCCTGATATAGAGTGGCCTGAAGGAGTATCTTGAAGCCATCTCCAGAGCCCCAAAGCTGTCTGGCTGAGAGACAAGCCCAGCTTTCTGGAACTTGTTTGGTTTTTGTTTTAACTGTATTTCTTTTGTCTTTTCTTTTTTTGGCACTGGGGATCGAACCCAGGACGTTGCACTTGCTAGGCAAGCGCTTTGCCACTGAGCTACATCCCAGCCCTTTCTGGAACTTGTGAATCCTCACTGGAACTCTGCAAATTCCTTATGTGAACAGTTGGTTCTGCAGGCTGGGAATGTGGCTTGTGGTAAGAGTGATTGCCTAGCATACCTGAAGCCCTGGGTTCGATTTCTCAGTACCACATAAACAGGAAAACGCCAGAAGTGATGCTGTGGCTCAAGGCGTAGAGTGCTAGTCTTGAGCAAAATAAGCTCAGGGATAGTGCCCAGGCCTAAGCCCCAGGACTGGGGGAGGAGGGGGGAACCCCAATCAAACAAAAACACAAAAAACAAAACAAAAAACCAAGACAAACGAAAAACCTTCTGAGTCTGCTTCATGGCTGTCCTGTTAGGGCTCTGGGTGTATCACTTGGTGCCTTATTTGCCTTCAACTTTTCTGTAATTGAATTGCATTTTTAGTGTTCTATGTAGATTCAGGGTACTGAAGGAAGGCTAAAGTCATGGCTCAGGAGGTAAGTGACAACCATGAGTGACAAAGCCACAGGAGAACAATGAGGTCCTGAGTTCAAGCCCCATTTCAGGCCATAAAAATGAAAGAAGAAAAAGTGGGATGTGTAGCTCAGTGGTAGAGCGCCTGACTAGTAAACACAAACAAGATCCTGTGTGCAAACCCCAGTACTATCTAAAAAAGCGGAAAAAAGTGGCTGAGGAGAAGGGCTGGGAGTATGGCACAAATGGTATAGAGACTGCCTGACAACTGAGTTAAAAGCCCAGAGAGAGAGTGGGGGAGAGGGAGGGAGGGAAGGAAGGAGGGAGAGAGGGAGATAGCAATCTTGCCGCAGG